TCCTAACTTATTTTTTGTGTTTTTCTAGAGACGGATCTATGCTTCCAAGTTCAAATGTGGAATCAAACCCACACTTGGAGACTGCAGAGATACAGACTGTTCAAACTTTGATGCAAGGAAAATATTTCCTTCTTATTCTCCTCTTACTAAAGTAGTTCTTTAACAATCTTAGTTGTTATTGACAATGATCTGCCATCATTAGCGATTCTTATAGGTCCCTATACTTTGCTGTGATAGGCCTCCCAGTCTCAGATCCGTTCCAACCCAGGTTGAATAACGAGCACCAGAAAATCATACTTCTTCAGTATTACTCCTCTTACTTAGTCCTCATTTCTTACTTTCCCTGAAGAAGATAAAAATCATATCCCACATTATCAAAAATCAACTCCTTTTAAAGTTCCCAGAAACACCTGCACTCACTCACACATACAGGACATAAGCTTTACTTCCCCGTGACCCAGGTGCATACCTCAGCATTCCCCACCAGTTAAAATATATGGACAAATTCCCATAATGTGCTACAAACACAAATCTGGTGGGAGATTATTTCTATTATTAAAAATCTATTTTGAAACCTGATTCAGAGTGCTTTTCTCTTTCTCTCTCTCCCTCTCACATGCACACACACACACACGCAGAGACTTCAGGGACAATTAAAGCACTAACATGCACACACTAAATAGCTAGATGGGCATTGACATGAACTTTCCAGATTTACATTTGCAGGACACATCCCTGCTGTTGAGAAAATGCAAGTGTCTTAGCAAACAAAATCAGAGTTTCTGGTTTCCTTTAGCCTTTTTTTTTTCCTGCTGATTGTAAATGTGAAGAGCAATACGTATTTACTTATTCAATTCAATATTCATATAAAGTTACATTACCACATTTATTCACAGCTGAGGCCGCTCATGTGTAGAGGTCGCATGAGCACAGGAAGTGATCAAGGTCAGACCCTGACTAAGTAAGGCACACTTGCAGAAATATATTATGCCTTTAGTCCAATATGACAATTTTCTCCGGGGGTAAATTCAAGAACTGCAAGTGTGGTCCAAATCAAAGTCATTCTGAATACTACATCTTTTCTGAGACTCCATCTTGTTGTGTTTCTGTCTCAAACTGCAGAGGTTAGTCCTTAACCTAGAACGTAACCCGGACTGAAATATTTGTGAATTCACATCTCAAGGCCTTTAATAAAAATCTCCTTTCTTAAAGCTTTCCATTGCATCCCATTACACTCTGTAACCCTGATATTTCATATACTAGTCTTAGTTTTGGTTTACTCGGAAGTAAATTCAGTTGCTGTCACTAGAAGGGCACTGAACTGTTTTGGACTGAACTGCAAACAGATGTCCCAGTTTGGGGAAAATAATGTTCTGTACTTGAAAGCAACAGACTTAATTTATTAAGAATTGAAAGAAAATGCCTTGAATGAAAAACAAAGATATGGGGCAACATTTAAAAAACATTTTAGAAATTCTGTACCTTATTAAAAGTATCACTGCTATAAACATTTTCCTATAAGCTTTAGTATTAGTGAAGTAGACTGGATGTGTTGCAAGTGAATGCTGTATTTCTGAAACTCCTAGAAAGAAAATTAACAACTAGTGGCCCTTGTAGATAATTTAATAAAAATGCCTCAGGATATACACAAACTAAAGTAACAGGAGCAGGCCTAAATACCTGAAAAAGAGGGAATAAGTGTTCTGTTGACACTGATGTCATTGACCAGCGATACATCTAATCAGGAATATTCTTCTCAGCCTTGCTCTTGTCATTAAAGGACAGACTAGGTAGAAATTTGGAAGTTCAGTGGTTGAAATTATAATGGTATTTACCTAACAATAATAAAGATTAAAAACTGGACAGCAGAAGGATTAGAGGAGATTTGAATAAGATGTTCACAATTTGAAGGCAGAGTGAAACTGATCAGGAATATCCTTTTTACCTCGTTTGCTAACAGAAGAATATGACACTCAACTAAGTTAAAGTGCAGTACAGTTAGAACCAGTACAGAGATTTATAGAGCAAACAGGTAACTTCTGGATTCACCACTAAAATCCAAGCTGCCTGGTTTTAAGAAAGTCTAGACATTTTACATTCCCTATTCAAACCTGTCGTAATGCAAAACTAAAATCATATCGAAGACAACAGATTTTCACGCTTCAGGCAAAAAGGTGATCATCTTGCATGGGGGGTCACTAAAGATTTCTAAGTACTTTCGGGAGGTTTCCACTGATGGTAAAGTTTCAGGAATTTAGTACTTTTGTGAAAATGATAAAAAAAAAAAGAATAACAAACAGGACAGAGGAAGGATTTCACTCATTTTAGCAGTTTCCCTTTAATCTTGCATTCTAACATTTTCAAAACAAATTCATTCCTTTAAGAGATTAAATACTTGAGTGAAATTTCCAAAGTTCTTGAAAGTGTGTAGCAACATTCACTAATAATTGGGGGGTATTAAGGAATCTTACACTCCATACATTGAAACTATTGCAAATAACCTATTTTACCTGTTCTCTTTGCCACTCACAACTTACAGAGTAGGTGCAAATAGAATGAGACTTGCTCCACCTGAACTAATGCCAGAAGTGGAGAGGAGTGTAGGGCACAGATGCAATTACAGTGCATAGCAATGTACTAAGCAACTATACACCTTCTTTTCCTGGTTCACATCTACTTAGCTCAGGCACATGCTATGTAGATGTGCCTGAGAACAGCCTACGTGTTTTAAGGTTCCATAAATCTGTAAGCATTTAATTATACAATTCATAGTCAACTGTAAAAGCAGTCCTTCAGAGACTTCATTGCTGACCAAGTTTTGCTTTCAAGCAGTACTGCTGTCAGCACTAACATCTGCCATGGCTATGCTGGTTAGCAAGTTGGGATGGTTTCTTTCAGATGTGGACTTCACGAATGTGATCCAGACCTTTATTCATCTTTCGATTCAGTAACGGCAACGTGTTCAGTATGGAGGTACTGTTAATCCAAATGAGAATTGCAATGGAGTGAAGAGAGCAGAAGCCCACTTCCTAAGCAATTTATCTTAGCAAGAGTACATGACAGAGTACTCTGCCATCTGTTTATACTGGCTCCTTGTTGGTTTCTGAGTGGCCGTACAGCTTGGAAGTGCTCTAAATGTTTAAGACCAATAGAGTTAAGAGATAGCTTTCATCACCTGTCACAGCTGTGATCAGTAGGCATGCTTATGTTGGAAGTCTTCCTTAACTGGAAAAGTTGGAACCATAGAGGTAATTCCTGTGAGTCCCCAGGTTGAGAACATAATCTCCTTCACAACTGGAACAGGCCAAACCAACCTGAAAGGCTTATCTTTGTATCGACACTTTGAATAAAGAAAAGGCAAGGAAAGGACTGACAATTGTTCAGGAAGAAGAAAATTGCTGAGATAGGCGTTCATAACGATTGGTTTATAAACAGTTTGCAATTTTTTGCTGAGCAGCAGTTCTACCTCTCATTGCATAAATCTACACCTTGCTTCCTTTTAATTCATATCATGATATTGGACTTTAAGATGTCTGAGAAAAAAAAGGATCAGGGCGTAAGATGTTTGATATTTACTTTCTAAAATAACTATCTCCATGGTATCCCATCCAGTCCAAAGCTTACTGATGCGACAAGATCTTTCAGTTAGCAATGAGATCATCTTCACATAAGTCATTGCACTTGTACGGGCATGCAACAATCATACCTTTTAATTTACCATCTATCAAGGCTTCATTAAAACTAGTAATAAGCTTCGTTTTCTCTCATCAGCACATACAGCATCACACAGTTATGCAAAAGTTTGAATAATGTATTCACTAACTGCTACTGTAAAGGTTAAATAGTGGACGTTAATTCTAAATGCATAGAAAAAGTCAGAAAGTATGAACCAAGTATGGTTGTAACTTATTATAATCGTGCAATACATTTTCCTGTATTTCTGCTTTATCATACTATAGGTTTTTTGTTGCTCAAAAGCCATTTAATTGATACGCTGTTCATATCAAACCCTCTGTTTTTATTTTCTGCATTGTAAAACCCTTTACATGTTATTGTTTATGTTATTCACCCCTGTGATCACTTCTCCCTCACTCTAAATTGTTACGTTTGCAGGTTGCAACTAGCAGCAGGATACTGTGGAAGCTCTGGACGTGTTTACTATCTGAGATCAATTTCAACAGTGATTTTTGGCCAATACCTTGCCTATCTACAAGGTAAAGAAAGTAAAACACTGTAGTAAACATTCTATGCTTATTTTTCTTTAAGAGCTTGAAGGTTAATGGCCCAGAAAGCAAAAGGGAGAGCTAGGTATGGTGTTAAAAACATTACCTCCAAAAATAGCAGGAGCGCCTCAGTGCTACTTCACAGCAGCGTCAGCGGTTACCCTTTTGTAAGTCTGCACCTAGTGCAACTATTTGTAAAGGTGTTTTCAATTGCATTGGAGAAACTCCTTCATTTTAGTCCAAATTTTATAATCTTTTAGAATTGGATCTAACCATTCAGTGCCATTTTTATTTATAGTGCTCTCTTCCTATGGAAAAAAAAAAAAAAAAGATGTCCAAGATTCTGTAATGACTTTTTAAAAAACTTTCTGATCTTTCTGAAGTGGAATCCTGTCTTTCGTGATAGCTTCCGAGTCACACCAAATGACTATTAAAATTGTTGCTGATACAACTGAGATTAAGACTCAGCTAGCGAAAGATTCTCTGGCTTGAGAATAAGCGATTTCTTGTTGCAAACTTTACTAGCACCTTTTTCCTGTTTTTTTTTTAATGTCTTCAGATAAACCCCACCTCACGCTCTAATTTCCTCCTACACGTCACGCTCTACCAACTCCGTGCCTCCTCTAAAAATCGCATTTGCCAAACAGCCCCTTCTGCAAACCCCTCACTTCCAATTCATCCTCCCTAGCCTTCTCTCCCAGACGAGTAGAAAAGACCGATTACCTGATGCTGTCACTCTCTGCCTGTCACCCTCCTCCACCATCCTGCTCCTCAGTTCTACTGGAATAAAGGACAGGCGGAGTTAGTTTGAAAAAAAATATACCCTGAGGTCGGGCACGTTTTCAGCTCGCAGTCGGGGGTGGTACGCCGGGCACCACACGTTTTTTGGCAGGAATCACCCGCGTTTCGCCGCCTGGCAGCGGGGGCGCGCGAGCAGCACCAGGCCCCGGCCGCGTAATGGCCGCTGGGGTCCTGCCGCCCCAGCCGCCGCCCTCGCCTGCCGGCTGCCGGCTTCCCGGAC